CCTTGAATGTTGAATGTTCGGTGTCAAATATTGAATATTAATTTGATAGGTCCGTTTTTCATTGGAAGGAATTATTTTCCTGTTGAGGTTCATGTAATTGTCAAACATAGTTTACTACAATGGAATCATTAAATAGCTGACGTTGCTGTTCTATAGATATATTTGAAGTAGTTTTGTTTAAATTTATAGCAGTTGTATCGAGTGATGATTCTACTGTCTTATCAAATTCGTCATCATCATCGTCATCATCATCATCATCAATAGAAATAGCTGGTTCGAATGTAGTATCAAACGACTGCAATGTAGAATTTAATTTATTAGTAGTATTATTGGATTATCGAGATTTATTAGGAGTGTCAGCTGTTGCTCTTGAATGAAAAATATTATCGAAAGTGATTTTCTTTCCTTTTTTCGTTACTTGTACAATAGTAGCATTAGTTTTATTAGTAACTACTTTTATAAGCTTCGTCAATGATTCAACCGTAGATTTAATAGTTTCATTCAATATTTTTTCTAAATCAGCTTTGTCACGTTTTATTGGTTGATATTTGCGTCTGATGGCATTATGAGCCTCAGTTAGTTACTCGAGTACATGTTCTCTTTCAAAATCAGACATGTTGACGGTTGTAACTTCTAAAGTTTAATCTAAAGTTTAATTTACAACGTACAGAGTCGCTCGGAGGCGCATTTGAAAGGTCTTTTCAAGAGCTTTGAAATGGTGTAACTCATGGATGCCATAGATTACACAGGCCGACAGAATTTGACAAAAATATTTTACCAAGAACCCGAGTATAGTTTTCCGAAGGTTTTTTCGCGCTGAATCCGAATCCAAGGTCAGAATTACTCTGGTGGCTCCGGTTTTCGAGATATCCTAACCTTAAAGTGCAAAAAACGCGATTTTTGCCTATATTTGAGGTTATGTAGCAAAGAAAAGAAATTTTTTTTCAAAAAACTGTATACATCAAATTAAAGTATGAGTTTTCTTCTTTCAAATGCCGTTGAGTATGCTCGGATATCTTTTTTTTCACGAAGTTACACAAATTTGAAAATTTCAAATTTTATGAATTTAAAAAGCACCACATCATTCAGCCCAAGCTATCTAACAAGTAACCATATTAAAGAGCCACTCACCAATTTAAACCAAACTTGGAAATATGACAAAACACTAAAAAATATTATGAGCATCGTGCTTCTATTTACAAAATGCTCTCTTACGGGTAGAAACCACCCCTGCCAACCCCTAAACAGGCTCACCCACATAACCCTGGGTAGAGCAAGTTTAATTAACTGCTTTTTGATAAAAAAACTCATTTTCTAATCACAGGTATGCGTACTAATATGATCTAGATAGGCCTCATCCCCAAATACCTCCTCAACCCTTTAAAACCAGCCCTCCCAACCCCTAAGCAGGCACACCCACATGACGCTGGGTAGAGCAAGTTAGCCAAGTGCTTTTTATTTCAAATTTGTGTAACTTCGTGAAAAAAAAAGATATCCGAGCATACTCAACGGCATTTGAAAGAAGAAAACTCATACTTTAATTTGATGTATACAGTTTTTTGAAACAAAATTTCTTTTCTTTGCTACATAACCTCAAATATAGGCAAAAATCGCGTTTTTTGCACTTTAAGGTTAGGATATCTCGAAAACCGGAGCCACCAGAGTAATTCTGACCTCGGATTCGGATTCAGCGCGCAAAAAACCTTCGGAAAACTATACTCGGGTTCTTGGTAAAATTTTTTGTCGGCCTGTGTTATCTTTTAGTTTTGTACAAGCAATAATTCCACATTGAAAATTCGGAAAATTTTTTGTTAACTTGGAAAACTTGCCAAATCAAGAAAAAAATTTTACAAAAATTTGTGTTAGAACATTTTTTAGTTTTTATCAAGCTCTATCTGAATAGAAATCAAAAAATTATTATTAAAATTATTATTAAAGTCCTGGTTAAAAAATTATTTTGTCAAAATCGACGCGCGCGGACATTTTTTCCGGGAAGTAAAAATTTTTTAAACATTTTTTATCTCTGTAAATTCTAAAAATAAAAAAAAAGTGTAGAGGAAAAAAAAATATTTGTCTTTGCAAATAGAATACTGTACTATTTTGTTTTATTTTTGTCGATTTTAAAAAATTTTTGTTTTCACAGCTGGTACGCTAAAAAGATGAAAAACTACATCATATTTTTTTTTCATTCATTTAATATTATTCTGTAATAAATATCATAAATTTGGTAAAAAAATGAATTTTCTCTTTTTTCTGGTTTTAGAATAATTTTTCTCTTTTTTTTTGCTTGCCTAATTCTTCATGATCAAATTGAACAATACAATCCGATCAGAAACGATGTGAAATAATTAGTGTGGTATATACCATTAGTGAAAAAAAAGAATAATATAGTATAAATATATATCATATTATTTTTTTAATAGATTTTCAATAAATACAAATGAAATTTGCAAATACAATTGTCTTCTTTTCTATAATTCCCTGTAATGATATGCAATTATTTCAAATATAGTATGTAACGGGGTGGATTAGCTAGTACAATGGGAATTTATTAAAGCACAAATTCAGACGATACAGAGCTAACCGCACGTATGAGTATACGTATATTCGCCTTTACATTTGATACTTTCGTTTCAGTGTCTTTTTTCCAACAGAGTTGAACTCACTTTAAGTCACCTGATTTGTGATACTCGATCTATCTTAGATGTAATTGATCTCATGCTTATTCCACCTAATCCCCTACATGAAATCGGTTTAAAATTTAATCCGTAATCCGTTAAACTAATAGGAAACGAAATGACGTAATGCGGCGAATAAAATTAATAACGTTTAATTCTAATAAACTACAGTCTTTAACGGGCTTTAAAAGACTAACGCACGTGAATAGGAATTTCCAATAATTAACAATAATACTGGGAGAGAGAGAGATAGAGAGAATTTGAAACTTTGCCTCGAAAACTAACGCTCGGCGTGAATACAAATATAATAGTCGCGATAGACAAAATAGTATTTTGTATCTCGCTAGTATTTCGTACGTAGTGTATAAAAAGGGAGGTGCACCTACCCTCCGGTGCAATTACGGTGATCAGCCAAGTAACAGTTGAGGCTTAACTGAAATTTTGAACTCTCGCGAGCCCTTTCTCTCTCTTAGTCGTTCGCTCCAGCATCGCTAGTGCCACCGAATCGCGAACAGATCGATTAATCGAATCGACTACCGTTGCAAGTATTAAATCATTTCATTTATTATAATAAAAAAAGATACAGGATAAAGTTACTGATACTGCTATAAGGTTTTAAAGTGGACTCGACTAGTCAAACGATAGTTTAAAGTCCACGCTTATCTATCTCTCTCTCTCACTCTTGCTCATTCAACATCTCCGAATCAGTGACGCTAGTTCTACAGGGTTTCCTCAGCCATATGCTATAGACCACATCGTCTTTAACTCTGTTGTAGCACTATGCTATCGTCGTCCTTCCCTCTCTAAATCTAATGCTAGCTCTTGTAGACCTATAGGCCCCTGTACACTCATGCTACACTATGCCATCGCATACGTCATGCGAACATTTTTAATTATTAGATTATCACCTGCTATCAGTTTATCGTTAGCTCCCATGATTCTATTTTGACGTCACCGCCACCGTATCTTTGCGTCATCAGCCACCTCCCCTGCCCTACCTCCATCGTATCTATCACATTACCCGTCAACTCTCACCATATCCTCATGTAGCCGCTACCTCCTCCGCATACGAGTTGCATCATATGCCAGCTCCTATCATATTATTACGTTATAGACTAGGTCCCATCGTACCATTACGTCATGGGGCCAGCTTGCATTCTGATGACTCATTTTAGGCCAAAATGAACATAGCTACTGTGACGGTAAACGTCTTATTAGCGCTAACTGCCCAACCGTGCGGCTGCCCGCGAGGGCAGCACCTACCGGTTGGGGAAAATGTGACGAGGTAATTCGGCACGCGACGGAACGGAACGCGCGTGTATGAAAATGAGGCAGTCGAGGATCAGCTATCGATATCCCCGACAGGAGTCGAAGATTAGCATCCGGTCGCTGAGCTGTGCAAGGTGGGATAGTTGATAGTTCCCGAGCTTTCCCGAGTGCCGAGAGGAGCTGATCAGGAGTGCAGAATTAACTACCGATACGGAGAGCCGCAAGTGAAGGATCGGCCCTCGACATGCCTAGCCAAAAGTGCACAATCAGCTACCGATACACGAGCCAAAAGTTGAGAGTTAGAACCCGATCGCAGAGCTGTGCTACGTTTCCCCGAGTTTTACCGGAGTGCCGATTCGAGCCGAGTCGGAGCTGCGACAGCGGTGCCTTCGCCTGCCTGGAAAGCGTGCGTGAGAGTGCGCGTGTGAGGAGTTTCGCCAGCGAGGGCGAAACCGAAAACGCGAGCTTCCGCACATTAAAGACAGACTTTCCCTCAGTGAGAGTGCGAATCGTTTTTTTTCTGCTTCGTACGTCTGCAAAATAAAGGTAAGCTGGCCAGCTTAATTTCGCGGTCGCGATATAATTGCTACGCGACTAATACCTCGATTCGACAAAAAGCGTGCATGTAACATCTCGGCAAACAAAGAGCGTAGAGCGATCCGACACTGCATGTTGTTGTCGTGCGCTCGGCATGTAAACAAAAACACGCGGGCCGAATGAGATGTAATATTAAGAGATAATAAAAGTTCTCGTCTGTGATGTTAACAGTACTTTCGAAGTGTTCTTCTCATATCTGTAGTTAGTTGGTTGACTGACACCCGTTCCCTCCTTCTCTCCGATTTTCGTGTCTGACGTAGGTAATTACGCGCGCCTTTCAGTACGATCGCGCGAATAAATTAATTAAACGGTACAAACCCCGTTACACTACACTATTATTTGACATTTTTAATATATATTAGAATACATATTTCTATAAATAGAATATTTGATTTTATGTGATGTAAATGATATTTTTAGTATAATAAAGTAATTATTTTAAATCATATATTACAGATATCGATCAGAGCATTCAAAATGTTCAAAATAGTTATGACTTTTCAAATAATACATGCAACAAATATAAGCAATTATGTGGTGGTAATAAACATGCTATTGAGAAGATGCTAGATTTTGGAAGGCAGTTATATGCACAATCAATGCAACTGCGACAAAAACATGGCAAAAATGAAAATAACAAAAGAATGTTACGTGATGCATTCAGTTTGCTTGCTTATTCTAATCCATGGAATTCTCCTGTAGGATGGCAGTTGGATCCTTTGCAAAGGGAAACTGTCTGTGCAAGACTAAACTCTGCAATATTAGGTATGGAAAACTTTATTAAAAATATTTTAGATTTAAATATATGAAAAATTTCATGTATTAATGACCATATTTTATTGAATCTATTCGCTTATTTATAACATGATCGGCTAGATGTAAATCTCACGCATATTTTTTTAAGGTTTTAATACACCGATATTCAAATAGTATATCTAGATATATTCTATTTGACTATCTCTTTCTGCTATAGATATCTCTAATCTTTCTCGAATATCGTGCGTAAGCAATAACATAAAACCTAATTTTTCAAGGCTCACAATGAAACAAGAAGTTTTTTATAATTGTACATGTATATATTTAACACTGCGACCTTTGTGGCGACGTCGAATTGTCAGCTTATTTTTTATTGAAATCTATTCCTCATTAATATCTATGATTATTGTGAATTGTAAATTGTTATAATTTTATTCACTTCGTATTTATCCAATATTTTCCTATAAATTATACAATAAATACTATCCATTCATATAAGTGATCGAACAAGAGTTTTAATAGCGGTAGACTCAACTTTCAGCTCGCACACCATTCAATTAAATACTTACGGTATCCATATTTCGTAATGCGACGAATGACACTCAAGCTTTTTATAAAAAATAAAAGTTATAGTCTTCTGTGGGTTGAAAAACTTGTGCACGCGATTTAAATTTATCCTGGAGAGAGAGAGAGAGAGAGAGAGAGAGAGAGAGAGAGAGAGAGAGAGAGAGAGAGAGAGAGAGAGAGAGAGAGAGAGAGAGAATTCGAAATTCTACCGCGAACTATAACGCTCGACGCGAATGCGATAACGGTCGCTTGCAAATTTAAATGCAATTAGCCGTAATTGATGTTGACAAACGATTTATTCTCCCGGGTGATGCTGCGACGATTCCGCTGTAACAAAAAAAAAGGAAAAAAAAACAGGCCACACACTTAGCTCGTAAATTAGAATGAAAAATTGCGTACAGCTGAGTAAAGAAAATTTTTTCTATGAACGGCAGTTTTCGACTCGCTCATCTGACAATTTTCCGATGTTTGGAACAATCAGAGCGAGTTTACGACCGCGCCATCCGGAGTAGCCAGATTTCGAACATCTTTAGAAAATAGAAATCTGCAGCGTACATGTGCATCTTACCGATAATATCGTTATTTTATTTTAAATAATTTATTCTCAATTTTATTAATTTCTTTTAAATTAACGGAAGCACATTTGCTTGCAGATCTCTTAAAAATATGCGAGACTTATCTATTGCAAGTAACATTCAAGTAAGTAACAAGGACTATTTTGATTAATAGTTTTTGTTTATTGCTCGGATAGTTTTAATTTTATACATAAATATAAATGTAGAAATTTATTTTATTAAATTTCTGATCTTAGGAATTAGGAAGGAATAAATGTCCTTGCAAATCTTATTTATGATATGAATATAAACTTACGTATTCTATCAGTTTTATTTTAATTTGCTTGGACATGATGTGTTTATACCGTACTGACAAAAAATTATTGTTTTATTTAATTGATGTTATAATTTTATATTGACGTTATATATGTGAGGAAATAATTTTTATTTTAATCAACATTGCAGTACAAAGCATATTAAAAAACGTAGGTTTATATTTAATTTATTACTATATTTGATTTGAAATTATTCATTTTATATATTTAACAGATGTATACTGAGGTGGCAATAAATTGAATTGCGAAACGTTTACAAGAAAAACAAGGTGTGTAATTATTTACAGGGATAACTCCTAAGATCAGAAATTTAATAAAATAAAATCATCAAATATCAGGAGTGAAAACATAAGAATTTTTTATATAAATGTAGAAATATAGAAATAATTCATTATATTTCCGTATTCATTAAGATTTTTACTGCGAATTTTATGTGTTTAATCGTTGAATACACTCAACTTTGCGTTAGAAAATTTAAGAACGGCTTGAACGAAAGTTAAGAACTATATTCATTATAATTAACTCTGATTTTCAGTATTTCTTAGGGCTTTTTGGTAATTAATTAATAGTTAAGACTATTAAAATCTTGTTTGTTTTCAGATAAATATAATCCTTAACTTTTGTTCTGTACTTTAGTTTTATTGTAGATTAAATAATATTTTTGTAAACTTAGAGTACCACACACATAATTACATTTACATAAAATTAGTTTATATAATTAAAGGTGAAAATAGTACATAGAGGGCCATCTGTGTGAAGAGGGCCCAAAACACTTGAATGAGGTCACTCCCGCACACTCCGCCCCAGGCCAATTAGGGTTCGAATTTCGCTTACGCTTGAGACACTCCCCAAATTTTCCAACCAATTAAATCAAGAAAATTTGAGTTCTTCCTGCCCAAAAATGACAAGGATTTTAGAGTGGGAGTCTCTTGCGAAAAGCATAAAAGGAAGCTCTTTAAGAAAATTAGGCAGTTATTTTTCCAGTTCGTGCAATTTTTTTGAATTCGTTTAGTTAGTTCAAGTTTTTTTTAGTTCGTTCAGTCTGTTCAGCCCGTTCAGCCTAATACTTTATAAAAGGGATCTCCGTGTATGTAGGAAAACTAGTATAAAAAGTGAGTAAAAAAAATTAAATAAAAAATTTAAACTCTAACTTCTTTCCATTAGTTTTTCTCTAATTTTCAGTTCATTTCTTTCCTTATTCTTTCCTTTCCTAGTTTCGCGTACGGTTTTTCTTTTTTTTTAGATAGTTACACTCGATTGCCAAGCGTATGGTCGGGTACATATTAGATAGCCTCCCTTTTACGTTACTTTATTGCCAAGAGTGTGGTAAAATAACGCGAAGCATTACTATATTTTCAAGCGTGTGGTATGGTAAAGCTTCAATGCTCCGTCGCCGCAAAGAGAATTTCCCGCGATAGTGGCAACGCACGACCCGGTTATTGTCCGAAAGGATAGACCAAAAAGTGCACCTAAGAATAGTCTCGTCAACCGACGTTACACCGCCTTAGCTACTCGATTGGTTGCTGATCGTCCAATTCCTCGCGCTCTTAACTCAGTTGCTTTTCCTCGCTTCCACACCACTCACGCACGTACCAAAATCAAGAAAACTTTCTTTCGGCAGAAGGTAAAAAAAAACAAAGTGAAAATTTTGGCGGTTTTTCGAAGAACAGCTGAGGCTATATTGAAAATTAAACTCGCGCGCGCCCCCTCTCTCTCCTAAACGTTCGCTCTCGTACTTCGAGTATGTAGAATCGCGGACGTATCGATTGTTCGAATCAACTACCGTTGCAATATACGTATTATATATTTATAAAGTATAGAATATGTGTAGCATAGCAGAAAATCCGAAGTTCAAGGCTCACAATAAGTATGTAATGAAATAGAATGAATGTGTAACGGATAATCGTTGTTAGTTGATTTTCTGTTGCTTTCACAATTCATCTGTTCGCCGTCTTTAGGCTACGAGTGTGTATGGATACACTACCCTATCTGTTTTTCTTTATTAGTAAATTAGTGAGGATTAAGGCGATTGGATGAAAAAATCAACGAGAGATGACTATAAGGAAAATTGCGAGTACTAAAGAGTATAAAAGGAGACAGTGATGTGAATTTGAGAAACAGATTGCTGGACTGTTCAGGAGCACGCGTCATGGTTTTTGTTTGTGCATGTACGGACGCTTAATGGCCTGTTATAAAAGACGGGACGAGTATGGGTTTCCCCAATTTGAGCACTATTATTTTCCGCACGGAGCGTTAGGAAACACAATTAACATGGGGATGAAATGCGGGAAAATCAATAGGATTTCTCAAAGAAATATTATTCAGAAATATTTCTCAAGAGATAATTATTCATTTCGTAACTACTAATTTAAAAGTTTTTCATATTTTTTTATGAACGAGGGAAACTCCAGCCGAAACTTCCTTTTCTTCTCTTCCTGCTCACATAAACCTACTACACTCGAACTTCCCGCACTTACGAGGTGTGTTCCAAAAGTAAGGTGACTTTTCAAATTTCACGGGCAACGTACTTTCGATTATCGATTTTTTTATTTTGTTATGTTGGTACACTCTTCCCGAACATCTGTACCAAGTTTCAAGTGTATAGCATTTTTTGTTTGGTCGTGAGAGGCGTAAAGGTTATAAGTGTTTTGCGTGCTCGGCGATTTCTTGCTATCGAAAAATATGGATCAAAGGATTTGCATCAAATTTTGTGTAAAAAATAAAATAAAGTGCTCCAAAACACTTGAAATGTTGACGGTGGCATACGGTGAAACTGTTCTGAGTAAAAAAAATGTTTACAAGTGGTACAAACTCTTCCAAGATAGCCGGGAAGATGCCAATGACGAGCCTCGCTCTGGACGCCCAAGCACGTCAACAACTGATGAAAACGTTGAAGCAGTGAAGAAAATTGTTCTGGACATCGTCGAATAACTATCAGAGAAGTTGCTGAGGATGTTGGTATATCGCTTGGCTCGTGCCATGAAATTTTTTCTAACGTTTTGGGCATGAGACGTGTGTCAGCGAAGTTTGTTCCGAAATTGCTAAATTTTGACCAAAAGAACCGTCGCATGAGCATCGCTCAAGAACTGTTGAATGACGTCAACGACGACCCAGATTTACTTAAAAAGGGTTATAACTGGTGACGAATCATGGGTATATGGTTATGATATCGAAACCAAAGTCCAATCGTCCCAATGGAACAGCCCAGATGAGCCAAGACCGATAAAAGCACGCCAAGTTCGATCAAATGTCAAAGTTTTGCTCACTGTTTTCTTCGATTACCATGGCGTGGTGCATCAGGAGTTCTTACCATATGGACGTACGATCAATAAACAGTATTATCTTCAAGTTATGCGCCGTTTGCGAGAAGCAATACGAAGAAAACGCCCAGAATTGTGGAAAAACAATTCATGGCTCTTGCATCACGATAATGCCCCTGCTCACTCATCTTTGCTTGTGAGAGATTTTTTGTCCAAAAACAACACCACAATCATGCCTCAGCCACCATATTCACCGGATTTGGTCCCATGTGACTTTTTCTTGTTCCCAAAAC